CTTACTTTTATGAAACTGCTCTAACAGTCCGCAAAAAATAAAAAGCCGGATCCAATTCGAACATTAAGGAACAACGCAATCTGCAACATTAACTGAATTAAATAATTTTTGCTTAGATTATACCGTCCGTACTCACATTAAAACGCGCATGCGCAAAAACATATTCGCAGCCATAAAGGTCTTACGCGCACTCGTAAACGCCTGCGTGAATGCGACGCATGCGCAGAAAGTTTGTAGCTTTGAGGTCCGGATTATAGATCATTCCGGATTATGGGTGTCCGAATTAAACGACTTTTGATGTACTAATATTATTTATATTAAGCTTCATTGTGTGTTTGTTGTGAAAAGTGGGAAGTGTGCGTGCCACGTAATGAAGATTCTGAAGATTAGGTAAGTTAGTATTTTTTAATCATTTGAGGATATTATTTTTATGCATTGTTCTAAATGTAAGGAGTAATAAATTAATATGGTATTATTGGAAAATTGTTATTAGCAATGATTTAGTTTAAAGTAATTAGGATTGTAATCTAATTTTTATTAATTTAATGTATGTGCTTATTTATATCTTAAGTAGTGTTTTTTAATTATATTTTAATTTAATGATCGCGTTTTTGCGAGTTATATGTTTGTAGTATTTTGGAATACGTTTGAGTAGAATACGTTGAGTATTTTCATGCATTTTCGTGAAATTTTTCTAATTTATGAGAAAAAAGCAGTGTACATGGATATAGTGAAAAGTGTGCGCAATGCCATTTTTTGCAATTCTGGGATTTTTTGTAAGTAAAAATAAGTCAACGTGTACATGGTTTAGTGATATTTTAATTAAATGATAGTTATTTTGTGAATTTTATGTTTGTAGGAATTTGGTATACGTTTCAGTTGAAGTAAACGTGCATGGAAGCAATTTAAATATTTGACACTAAGTATTTGTAACCATTTGTAATGTTTGCGGTATGAATTCGTTGGTGACGTTTATAATATAATGAATAATTTAGAGGTAAAAGTTTTTGGATATTTTATTTATTTTATATGTGGAAATGTTCATCTTTGGAAAGAGTATATACTTTTTGTGATCAAGTAATTTCATATATGTTCTTTTTACTGGATTTATAGATTCACAAAAGTTTCATGCATATTCGTGAAATTTTTTTAATTTATGACAAAAAAGCAGTGTACATGGATATAGTGAAGAGTGTGCGCAATGTCATTTTTGTGCAATTCTGGGATTTTTTTTAAGTAAAAATAAGTCGACGTGTACATGGTTTAGTGATATTTTAATTAAATGATAGTTATTTTGTGAGTTTTATGTTTGTAGGAATTTGGTATACGTTTTAGTTGAAGTAAACGTGTATGGAAATAATTTAAATATTTGACACTAACTATTTTTAATGTTTGCGTATAAATTCGTTGGTGACGTTTATAATACAATAGATAATTAAGAGGTAAAAGCCTTCGGATACTTTATTTATTTTATACGTGGAAATGTTCATTCTTGAAAGGGTATATACTTTTTCGCGATCAGGTAATTTCATATATGTGCTTTTTACCGAGTTTAAAGATTAAGAAAATTTTCCTGCAAATTTTTGTAATTTATGAGAAAATATCAGTGTAGATGGATAAAGTGAAGAGTGTGTGCAATGCCATTTTTGTGCAATTCTGGGATTTTTTTTTAAGTAAAAATAAGTCGATGTGTAAATGGTTTATGTGTATGTGCTATTCTAAAAACGTGCAAGGAGTTTGCGATTGTGCACTTTTCCCCAATTTTGCAGTTAATATTTGTCATGATTAAGCAGTTTTGTTACATAAAATTTCTAACATGAGTGTAATTCGGCTATTAGATTGTTGGAAAAAGTGTACAGTAAATAAAAAGAAAAGAAACATGTCTTTTATAATGTAATAGATTTTATAATATAATAGATGATTTAGAGGTAAAAGTTTTTGGATATTTTATTTATTTTATATGTGGAAATGTTCCAAACTAATAGCACCAACGAATTCATACCGCAAGCATTACAAATACTTAGTATCAAATATTTAAATTATTTCCATGCATGTTTACTTCAACTTAAACGTATACCAAATTCCTACAAACATAAAATTCACAAAATAACTATCATTTAATTAAAATATCACTAAACTATGTACACGCCGACTTATTTTTACTTAAAAAAAAACATCCAGAATGCACAAAAATGGCATTGCGCACACCCTTCACTATATCCATGTACACTGCTTTTTTCTCATAAATTAGAAAAATTTCACGAAAATACGTGACAATTTTCTCAATCTTTAAACCCGGTAAAAGAACATATATGAAATTACCTGATCGTGAAAAGTAATGAACATTTCCACATATAAAATAAATAAAATATCCAAAAACCTTTTACCTCTAAATCACTATACATTATACACGTCACCCAACGAATTCATTACCGAAACCATTACAAATACTTATTGTCAGATATTTAAAATTATTTCCATGCACGTTTACTTCAACTAAAACGATTTATACAAATCCTACAAACATAAAATTCACAAAATAACTATCATTTAATTAAAATATATTAAATTCAAAAACACTACTTAAATATAAATGAGCACATACATTAAATTAATACATATATAAATACCCATTTCGAATTCACTTTAGTTACGGCCATGGGATCCAAAAATTCACGAACACTGTTTCACACAACACAGAATAAAGCCAAATACAAAATTTCCCGATTTCCCCCCTTTTCGGATTAAAGAACCGTAATTCGTCCATTAATATCACATGACATATCCCATGATCTCTCATTTCCCTCACACAAAATAATGCGTAATCGGAACTGAGTACCGCTCACATTATTACCAAAGTGCCAAGTAGTAATCTTTATCGCCTCCAAAATGTCGCCAAACTACCAGTTACCATATTGTAAAGATCAACCAAAATCGCCAAGTTACGATAATTCAAAGATCAACCAACATTTCTTTCAATGTAAGTTGCTTCATTTTTGGTGCTAATACTGTCTCTTGTAGACAGTCATAATCTCTTGTTCAGTTGCATTGTTGAAGTCCTGTAACTGCTATTTCGAGAATTCCGACTAACTTGTCAATCGAAATTTTCTCGTTTTCAGTAACTTCTTTGTCACTTTCTTCACTATTGGTAGCGGTATTTTCTGCATCTAATACCATACTACAGATTTTGCCATTCATTAACTGATTGGAGTTAACTGAGGATTTCATTAACTGAAGGGGGGGAATCAAATGTGCATGCATAAAGCCTATGAGAAAACATTGATTGTTTTGAGGTCCAGATTTTAGATCATTCCGGATAATGGATGTCTGGATTTCGAACTTTATACTGTACTTCATAACCAACACACACCACAAGCCCTTACAAATCTTTTTCCGGTTAATCTTTGGATTATGGTAACTTGGCGATTTTTTGGCCACCAACCCTGCTACAGAAACCTGCTGGTTTTTGTCTGAACGCCATTTTGTTTTCACGAAGTAAAGGCATGTTTCTTTTTTTTTTTTTTTTTTTAACTCAACATTTTTTTTCCAACAATCTGCTAGCCGAATTACGCTTATGCTTGAACTTTTATGGAACAAAAGTGCTTAATCATGACGAAGATTAGGTGTGAAATTGAGAGAAAGTGCAGAATCGCAAACTGCTTGTCGCCTTTTTAAGAATTGCACATACACGGTATCCATGTACACGTCGATCTATTTTCACTTAAAAAAACATCCCAGAATTGCACAAAAATGGCATTGCGCACACTCTTGACTTTATTCATGTACACTGCTAAAGTCCTAGCTGGTAACCTTTATCGCCTTACCAAAATGTCGCCAAACTACCTGTTACCATATTCCAAAGATTAGCCCTTTTTCCTGCCATTCAAAATTTACTGCAGCGATTATATCATAATAGGATTTCCATAACATTCAACTATTCAAGTTACCATAAATGAAACAACAACTTGGCGAAAATGAAACAACTTGGCGATAAATAAAACAACTTCATGATAATACAAGAGAGACCCTTCAATCTACTCTCACCATTTAATGATACTTCAAAATTTCAATATTTTATTAAAGAGATATTACTAATTTAATAAACAAATTAAAAATAACAATTTTATGTTTATTATTAACAATATATGCAATTTTTTTCAAAACATGTCATTAACAATAAATAAATATCTTCTCACTTAAAAAAAATTAAAAGTTAATTGAAAAACGACATTCTGTTGGCCATTTGGCTATTATACTATAAAATTCCCACCTATGTTACAACTACAAATAATGAATGGACAAAAAAAGGAAGAATTAAAGTAACGAAAGCTTCAAAACTGAGAAAACTTCATTTGTAGTCTGACATTTATCAGTTCTTTAAATGCTGAAGACATTCATAAACACATGTATAGCCTTTCTTTTAACCATCATATTAATGTGATATAGTTATTAACATCATCTAGGTTCAAAATATGAAAGTGAATTTTGCGATGAAATTATAAAAAATTCAGCGATCTACCCCACTAAATCTATTCAGCATTAATCATAAATCACTATTTATATTACATGATTTAATTTCGATCAAATACTAGTTGTATATAAACATATATATATATATATATTTTTAGAATAACTGTTAAATTCTGATTTTAAATAAATATCTAACAAACAAATAATTTAATGATGACTGATTATAACAAACTTTAGGTAATTCCACACTTAAATTGCAAATTACTATTTAAATCATGCAGAGATTCACTGAAAGACAGAAGTAATACGCAGAAAAATGGAATATTTAAGGTTGATGATAAACGCACTATAAACTCAAACCGATCCCTTACGTTTCATAACGCAAAAAGTAGAACGAATGCTGCAACGATATAGGTAATAAAAGCCTGTTTTAGTAACAATATTATTAAATGCTTCAAGAACTATTTATAAATGATGCACCAAATTTTATCCGTTTAATTATTTTAGAATTAAACTAAAAATTATCTTACCAGAAAACTAATAGCTGATTTTCTCTCAATTCTAAAACAAATTGTTATTAAAATAGTTTCTTAATATGAAAGGAAAGATAAAACTTTGGTATTCTTATTCTGACGTATACGTCAACAGCGGTTCTAAAACAGTCATTTCCACTAATGTTTACTCATTTATCGCATATATTTGCTTTTGAGGATATGTACATATCATTTACATCACTCGCTGTCAGATGACTAAATCTGCTAGAAATTTTTAATTTGTACTGAAGTCTTTTAGCTGAATACACGCTTATTAGAATCATGTGATGGAGGAATATCCAGAAACTGTAGGAAAGGAAAGGAATAACTGAGGCTTCTGTGACAATGATAAGTACTTCACTTTCCTAATTAAATTAGATAGAATGATGCAAATACGTAATAATTACAAAAAAAATATGCTTAAGAAAGAGATCCCTATATTTTGAGTAATAAAAATATCATCTTTAATCTTTTGGATACTAGTGTAATACTGGAATATACGTTATAATTTAAGTTTCTTCGTTAAAGTGGATAGTTTAAAATTTTTAATTTTCTGTCTTATGAAACCGAGTGAAAGTTGACAATCGAACTGTTGATACTAGAAATGGTTTTCTGACCATAACAAATAAAAATTACTAGTTTTTATCTTTCTTGAAACCTTCGTGAAGAAAGGTGATGGATGAAGTGCAACGAAAATAATTGAATTTTTTTCTTAATAAATATCCGGTAAGTTTTAAAAATATTTGAAATGTTATTGATAAATATTACAGGATTTATGCCCCTCTTCTTCACTGTGTGACTTTTGCATTCGAAACTACATGAATTACATCATACCTTGTTTTCGAATGATCCTATAATGTTTTCATCTCATTACAACACATTTTCAATATTTAATTATCTTCCAATTAATGTACATAACTATTGAATAGATTTTGAATATTTTTATCATCTTTCAACATCAATAGAACTTAAAATTTACTGCATTTTGAAATCGATCTTTAAAGCACTGCAAACCGACATAAATATGATTTCTCTCAATATTATTTGATTCAGTGTGATCTTAAACATTTCAAAATAAGAATCATATTACGTAAACAGATTAGTTTTGGTAATTGATTTTTACAGCATTTCCCAACATGTGCAGTGATATCATCTTTCCAAGTTAAACATAACAAGTAACATCCTGCACAAATAATCTGTAACAGATATTTATCATTAATTCAAAAGCTCATCATTTAAATATCACAGATTAATAATTTATGTTGCATTTTTATTCAAATTAAAATTTTATTGGTGAAAAGCTAAAAGCTTATTATTTGCTTAAAATTAATCAAAAGCTAGCCATTTCTTCATTAAACCTGTATATCACAGCTACTAAAAATTAAAATCTCATCATGGCTAGACTGGAGATTATGGTACAGTCGCCAAATGTAGCGAAATCGCGCCAAATCTGGTAACCTCTTGGCATCATAAAAATAAATAGGGTTTAAGGTTACAGTTTTATCGGTGTCGTATTTAAGCGAGCTTTTTGAATTTTCGTGATTTAGTACCTTTGATTATGTCATTCTGAACAAGGACTGTGGTGATATCTTATTGTATATTTGTATATAGCTGTACATATGTTTATTTAGCATTTTAGATTTCTGTTTGTATACCTAAATTAATTGTTTTCTGCATCATGTTTCTTTTCCCTTGTGATTTCAAAATTTTTATGACACTACTCCACACGCCTTGCTGTTCATGATCGGATTATTTCTGACCAAGCGATGTATCGATTCCCTTTCTTTCCTACCTGCCTAGCTCCCTTCGGGGATACTACGACCAGACTGTACCACATGATACGCCCTTGCGACATTATTTTATAGAGCCGGACACACTGCACTCTATGCGGTATTCCGGAAATACAGGAACAGTCAGTCAGTCAGTTTCGTCATTTCACTGTGCTTCTTGTGGATTGTGTGAGCAAAATGGCTGGTGTTAAAAGAGTTGAACGTGTGGATTTTACTTATTTGATTCGGTTGCAAGGTAAGGACGAAAGCGTGTGATAGAAGGATGCATGAATTATGGTTTGATTGTGAATATGTACAAATGTCCTAAGTGTAAAAATAGTATGAAATTAGTTTTTAATTTATTGGTTTCATTATTTAGAAAGCAAATTGTTTATTTTTTAATTTCTCCTTTAAGAGCATAAAATATGTAGCTAGCTGTCTTAGAACAAGGTTTATTGTTATTACTTTTTATTTTTATAATGCATGCATGTGATTCAATTATTTGGCTACTAGAAATGAATTTATAGTTTGCTGCGAATAAAATTCATTGCTGTTTTCATTAATCTTAAGTTATAGGCTTAACCAAAATTGGTGCTACTTTGGTAGACAGTTGCACGGATTTTGGTGATTTTTCTTTTGGCGAGTAATACAACTTATGGTAAACCCATTGCTGGATAAGTTATTTATGGTAACCAATACTTTGTTGTCATTTTATTAAAAAAATAGCATTTTATTATGCATAATTTCTGTGTTTTAAATATTATTTATGCCTTCTAAATATTAAAAATCAATTTAATTTTACATTCTTATTTGAAATAAAAATTTTGTTGTTTATAATATTTTATATAATTTTATGTTGTGGGTGATGTAATCAATGGCGTCACCTTACTTAAAAAGTAATTGGTTTTATTAATATCTATAAATTTAATCTAATGTTTTAAACATTATTTATGGCTGTTAAATATTAAAATACAATTAAATTTTGCATTTGTTTTAAAAATTATTTTATTATGAATGATTATTTAAATAATTTTAATTCTATGTGTGATGACCCTGATTGGTTACTGAATATTTGTGCATTACCGCGCCATTTTAAAATTTTATTATTCATCTCTTCGAATTCGTCAGATTTCAAATGGAATGGATATCTCCGTTTCGAAGATGAATGTTGTTATTGGTAATTACCAAGAATTATTGGTATTGGAATAAAAAAATTGCCCTTTGAGACCTTATTTAGCCAACCTCTCTTTCCTAATCAAAGATTTATTTATAAATTGTTAATAGCATCAGAGGAAATTTATTTAAAATTTTTGGAGGAAACCTCGCTAATTGCTTCTTCACTAAAGTGCGAGATATGTGGATAACAGATGAAGATGGTTAAAAGAGCGATTCAATTATGATTTCGATTTTTTTTTTTGTGGTACTGATCAATAAACAAGAGGTTAAATTACTCAAAAAATGTAAGTACATATTTTTCTTTTATTTTATAATTGTATACTTCAATTTTTGTTAAAAAAATTAATACACTATTTTAAAAAATTGCTGAGATAATTATTGTCACATATATTTTAATGTTAATTTATATTTTATATAACGTATTTTAAAGTATTTGAAATTTAATAATATTCTAATTCTTTTAAATGTTAGTAGGATGGTTTTTAATTCGATATTCAATTTCAGTAATATTTTAATCTAATTAAACATTGGCACAATGTTTTTATAGCTGTGTTTTTATTCTCTTTTTTGCTATATGAAAGTAATAATAGCCTTACTTTAGTATTTTATACTCATAGTAAATGTATTTATTTACACTTGCCTGCCATCTTAAAAAACGACGTTTTCAACAAAAAATTAATCCATTACTTTTAACGATATTTATTTTTATTTTTTTTTTTTTAAGTTTCGAATACTTTACTATGTGTAAAAACAGCGTTTTTCAAGATGGCTGACGATTGTAAAAATCGCGCCAACGTAAATCGCCAAAAATCCGTGCAACCGTCTACCAAAGTAGCACCCCAAAATTAATCTTCAGTTATGGTAAGATATTGACTTGTATTGGTAAATGTCACTAATCTTTGGATATTATTGACCACAGTTAGTTGTTAGTTTTGAAACAAGTTAGTATATCTGGAATGTATTGCTCCTTTTTGCACTTCATATATATCTTGCCATCATATTTATTACCTATAAATGAATGCTGTTATGATTTTATTAACTTTCAGATATTAACATATTATCAATCATCATTATTGAGTATATTTTATTTATTATGAATACAAAGTCCTCAAATAAGTATCCATAATTCACCAAAGGCCATGTTGTTTTTGATCTCAAATAAAGATTAACCATAGCATCATTTATTATAAACTTTTTATTAAGCAAGAAACATGCTTTATATGTTTTCTGTTCTTAACACTATTGTTTATTTCCATATATCAGTTAACTTCGTTTAGTTGGTATTTATATTAGGATATTTTTTGTTTCAGTGCTATGCTGAACCTAAGTTTTTGATGCATTAATCTTTGTTTGGATGCTCAGTAAAGTCTAGATACCAGCAAAAGGTTCTACAGTATTGCTGTCATTATTATTTGCAGTATCATTAAGATCAGAACAAATATAATGTAGCCCACTAGTCATGTCAGGCAAGCCACATAATGATATATTGGTGAGGCAGCCAGACTTATAGAGATTGTTTTTTAAAAAGTCATACCCAGTTCAGAGATGAAAATTTGCCAAGTTCACAGGTCTGGTTACATTATGAGAAACTGGAGTCCTCAATAAATACTCTGGACTTTTCCTTATCTATTTTTCTAATGAAATTTTGCTGATATACATTGATGTTAGACTTAATAAGTATCCTAGCAGTAGGAAAATCAATGAAAGAATATGATTGGAACAACTTCGGCCAACCAGGTTGTTTTTAATAATGCCACAATGGCTGTTATAAAATAATGCATCGTACATTTTCCAAAAGAAAGTCAAAAATGGCCTGATAGTCATAAATAGAATTTTTAGCTCTCAGAAGAAAGTGCTCTAGTAGTAGCCTGAAAGTTAATAAAGATAGCATTTGGGTTTCATTCTCTTGCTAATTTTGTAAAAAACGCCTAATCTGTACTTTGTAAAAATCACCAAAGAGAATAATGCTTTGAATGTACTCTTAATTGATTCAAAATCATTTGCAACCAATTAAAAATTTGTGCTGATCATCACAAAATTCCTACCAAAATAAAAGTAAAATCTCCTTGCAAGTAACTTTATCAATTAATTTTTGGCATAAATACTTAAACTATATATTTATATAATAAATATTTTTGGTAATTTCTGATTATCTGCACAACTCTGAAAGAAATTCTCCAAGCAACTCAAGATAGCCAAATAGGCAACATTGACAAAATGCATTTACCTGGCAATGCAGGTTTAGTTCAACTGTCTCAAGAGCAACCCTAGTTGGCATTCTGCCAAAACACATAGACTCGTCCAAAAGGGGCGGTATTACTTGCTGGGACGTGAAAGGTCTTCTCTTCTCCGGAGAGAGCTATGCTGGAGGGAAAGAAAGTCCCCACCCTTCCACCCTATTTTGAGAATAATTGGTCCGAATGGCGCATGCGTGTTTGCGCTCATGGTTGTGGATGAGGCGGTCGAACTATATGCATGTGTGTACGTTTCTACCTTCAGCAAATAAGTGGCATTTTGGATCTTCACATTTTATTGCCATTACTGTTTGTTTTTCGTGCTTTGAGACTGCATTTTTTTTTTTTTTTTTTTTTTTTTTTTTCTCTTGTGAGCAATTGTAATAAGAAATTGTAATTGTAGAGTTTGCTTGTAGAGGAAAAAGAAAGTGATGCATTTCTTCAGAAAGGTAGTGCTTGCCCAACCATTAGAAAATGCAAGAATCCACATTCCATGAAGTTTTATGTCATGGATTAAAATTTGTGCAATTCTGTATACACAGAGAGATCTAACTATAGTAGGCACAGTGCTAAATTGTCTGTGATGCTGAGTGCCTGCATTTCGTGTCCAGAGAACCATGGAAAAGAAAAAGAAGTATTTTATCATGGATGTTTCTTGTGTTTTCAGTTTTGTTAATTGTCTGCTGTTAAACAACTCCAAAGCATTGACAATAACAATTTCCGCAGGAATTTAGTTCAGCATAGTTTTAAAAAATTTTGCGTTACTGTTCCAACAATCTGTCAAAAGACAAAAGTTACAGTGTGATAGCTTTTTGCAATTTACTGGTGGACACTTTCTAGACTTAGTACCAACAACATCTTTGAAGAAAAGTGCTGCGAGTAAATGCACAATTTGCTCCAAGAAAAAAAATTTGCTGTGAATGCCGCTATCAATGTGCTGAATGTGATGTTGGATTATGTGTTCAATCATATTTCAGAATATATCATACAAGTACTAACCATTATTTTTTTATTATGCTTTGCATTTTAATTTTGAATATTTGACTGTAAATGGGCCTCTGCTTTTACCTAAATGCATCGCATCATTATGCAGTTAAGTGAAAAGTGGTGGCACTGGCGAGCAAATCGCAGATTTCCTTAGCAGTTAAGGGATTAAGGGTGGGAATAATGAGGAGTATCTTAATTTTTTGCAATTGTAATTTATCACTCTTTTCCATCTGTAAAAAACCAGCAAATTATGCAAAGGCAGTTGAGCTCATATTTTAGTATCACTTTTTCTTTTATATTGCTTTAATTGCTTAAAGATATAGAGAGGAGAAGAAAAATGAAGCTGTCTTCAATAAAGCTTGCAGTGTATTTTATAATTAATACATTGCTATAAGTTGGTAATGACACAGTAAAATGCATATTCAAACAAAATAATTTTTAGAGAAAATCAAGGGATTTCCTCCTTGATTCATTGTTTTTTGCCCAAAAAAATACTTTTATGCATTTAAACTTCAAAGAAAAATATTAAGCTGCAAAGAACAAATTAAATTTATTTTTGATAAATTTTCAACAAGTGCTGTTGTGGAATCCACTGAAAGAATATTAACTGAACAATGTATTAGACATAGTTGAATATATGAGTATATATGCTGTGAAATGTTTCCAAAGGTGCAACCTGAAAATGCTTTTAGTGATTATTTGTTTCAACAATACTATAGTGTTGTTTTTTAGCATAGCTTATGAAGTAAAAGCATAACAGCAATATATCAAAATACTTTACATTCCATTAATCTTCAAATTTATGAATAATACAGTAAAAAGTCCGAAATCGGGACTTGGCAGGACTTCGGTGATTCCAGATTTAGGATTTTTCCGGATATTGGATCATCAGTTTAAATCTAGTGAGATGGAATATAGAAATTATAAAATTAAAGATTTGAAATCATGATTTATGAAATAATGATGTATTTATAATCTAAATGGTATCAAAATTTACAAAAAAAAAAGCTTAATATTTATTTGTTTACCTTATTAAACATTTATTTCAATGTAAGTTTCTTCGTTTTTTGTGTTAATACTTTCTCTTTAATTTTATAGACACATATAATCTCTCATTTAGTTACAGTGTTGAAGTCCTGTAACTGCTGTGTTGAGAATTCCGGCTAGCTTGTCAATCAAAATTTTTTCTTTTTCAGTAACTTCTCTGTTACTTTCTTCACCATCGGTAGCGATATTTTCTAGATCTAGAGCCATACTACAGATTTCGCCATTCATTCATTGACTGATGATTGATAGGCGCTGTTATCAGAATAAAATTTTTTTTTTATATCTTCTTCATTTATTACCATTTCTCCACATTTCTTTACAAAATTCGTTATTTGGAAAATTTCACCTTTGTTTTGCGATATTCAAAAACCTTTTAAATTCACGGCTATCATCTTTAAATTTAGCTATCGTTCACTGTACATATTTGCTATGCATCATGAGCTTGGCTATACTATACTATGACAAATTGTTCCATTAAATTTTATCTTGCTTCTGTCTATATTATGACAAGTTGTTCCATTAAATTTTATCTTGCTTCTATTGCACACTGAGACAAATAAGCCCGAATTGTATTAGTTTAGTTATTTATTATACTTATGTCTTTTTCTTGCACATGCTTAAGGCTTATCAGAGTTCTAAAGGAATAAATAAAGTCCCACATATACTTAAGCCTTATTGAGGGCAGATGCTAGATATCTTACCACCTGATGCAGTCTCTGTGGGTCCTAAATTCTCGACCTGGTGCAGCCATACGAGCCCTGGCACTGGTTCCTGGTTTATGTGAATAACAAATCAGTTATTCTAAATTTAAATAGCCCTAAATGTAATCTTTGGGTCTATGAGTATCATCAAGAAAATCTATTTTTAGCATATGGAAAGAAATTTTTGTTAAATTTTTCTTCGTTTACATTTTTTAGCGCATTTAACTTAAATCTGTATGCAAAGTGTAATGTCAACGTAAAAGGTTACCATACTCCTTTATTATTCAATTGCTAACATTAAAAAAAAAAAAAAAAAAAAAAAAAAAAAAAAAAATGTTTAGGCACTGCTACATGACTCATTACTCAAGTTGTCATGTGTTGATAAACATGCAGTGATGAAGGGAAAGTATAATAAATAATGATTTGCCAAGTTGGTGTCAGATCAACGATGTATCCATGTGGAATGTTTCGTTTTGAGATGAGCTAGATTATTGATCGTACAAATTTATTCAATAATGATTGTTTCTTCAACAAGCTATTTCATTTAGTGTCGAAATGAAATTAAGAATCGGGACTGTCCAGATGTTTTATTATGTGCAGATTGGGGGATCAAATGCGCATGCGTAAAGCCTAAGCGAAAAACGTTGGTGGTGGTTTTGAGGTCCGGATTTTAGATCATTCCGGATATTGGGCATCTGGATTTCAGACTTTGTACTGTATAATTTTTAAGATCTCATTTAAAAGATCATTTAAGAAAATGTACAATTTTTTCCAAGCAAGTTATAAAGAACTGAAATCTAATTTATTGGGTCATCCAGAAAATTATGTTGCTTTTTTTATGATAAATACAAATGAAGCAATATAAAAATATAAGAAAATTTCATTGAATAGCATAAGCACCATTTTATTCTGTAACTTTTTGCCATATCTCCAGCAGCTGGAAAATTCCTTTTTTAAAAATTCATTAGATTTATTCATAAAGAAGTTTTTGATGTGCTGTTGACAGTCTCCAAAGAAGTGAAATGCATATCATTCAGAGAATTCTGAAATGACCTAATTATGTGAAAATTGGAGAGGACCAGGTCTAGTAAATAAAGACTGTGAACAAAGCTTCTCAACCTTCTGAAATGACCTAATTATGTGAAAACTGGAGAGAACCATGTCTAGTAAATAAAGACTGTGAACAAAGCATTTCAACCGTGGGACTGACCATTGACATGATTGAAGACAATATTTCAAAGATTGGCGAGTTCTGGGTGCTTTTCTTCAACTTCTGCATTTAAAATTCCCATTTAGGGGCAATATATTTTCAAATTATTCATAGTATATAATTCTTCATAGTCCCAAAGAATTACTTTGTTGGGATATAGCCCTCTTTCATTGTTAGTATGGCTGTCCCCATGATTTATTTCTTGTAACATTATTGTATCCATTTCCAGTAACGAGTCATTTCAAAAAAGACAGTCTTTAGTTATTTTAACCCCAGCAGTGAATTACATGGCCAAGCTTGAGCAAGCATATTCTGCTCTTAAAATGTGGGATAGTCATATATCATAAAGCTTTAGTTTTCTTTTGCCGACACTTAATAAACTGATACAGATGATACATCATGAAAAGAACTAAGCATATTTACAATTTTCTTATCATTCTATAACCAAAGAAGCAACAGCGAATCGTGTTCGGTTGTGAAGTACTCCCTTACTATGATATAAACTTGTAGCGCCAGCTAGGCACAAAACAAACTTGAAATATGAATATTACAATATTCTCAGCATACACAGAGAAAAAGCAGTATCTATATTGAAGCTAAGAGAAATAAACTTATGCATGCTATTTTCACACGACTCGTATTATGAGACGGATTTTGTATCCTGTGGAAATCGCTGTGACCGTCCATACACAGAGGGTTAAAAGAAATACTTAACAGTTCTTGTACAAATAAAAAAAAATAATCTCCCAAATTCAAAAATAGAATTTTATTTTGATATATCTACTGGCATAGCAAGACCTTATATTCCCAAGGCATAACAAAAATTGTTTTAATTGCATATGTAATTTAGCTGATCTAGCTATTCGAACAACGTCAAAATTAGTTTGTAGTGTGTGGCCAAATATCAACAAAGATGTCGCGAACTGGCCAACTGTGTATTTCGTGTCAGAAACCTAAAATACACAAACACACTTCAGTCCTTTCACAATCATTTAATGAAACTTCTGTGCAATTTCAACATATTCATATATATCTTATTGGCCCATTTCCACCTTCCAGTAGATTCACATATTGTCTAACTGCTATCGATAGGTTTACAGATGGACAGAAACTATCCCCATCATCAATATTCAAGCTACAACAGTAGCAGAGGCCTTCTATGCAAACTGGATCACCTGGCTTTGGTGTGCCAGCTATTATTTCAATGGATGAAGGACGCCAATTCGAGTCTTGTTTATGTAAGGCTCTAACTAAACTTCTAGCCATACAGTGAATATGCACAACTGCTTATGATCCTCAAAGCAATGGCTTGATTGAGTAATTTCACCATCCTTCAGAATCTTCATTAATGTGTCACGGCACCCTAAAATAGACAGAAGTTCTGTGCTATTTGGGTTGAGAACAGCTCTCATAGAAACCATTGGTTGCACTCCCACTGAACTTGAGTATGAAACTACAACTAAACTCATGGGCGATTTTTTTTTTGACACATCAACTATCGAAATTGATCCTGTTGAATACATCAAACAACTTTAAAGTTGCATGCTGCAGCTTAAACCAAAACCAACTGGATCACAATACAGCAAAAGCAGTGTTTATTCACAAAGATTTAAAAACGTGTTCGCATGTATTTGTATGACGTGATGAAGTACAATAGCCACTACAGCCAACATATGATGGCCCTTTAAAAGATCTCAAATGTTGTGGAAAAGTCGTTCAAATTATACATTTATGGAAAAAAATTTTCGGAAACCAGCATTTCTGTTGAGTACCAACATGGATACTTGCTCTCCTGATACTTTGAAACCTATATCAACCCATCACACCAAACCCAGTATTTGTCAAACTCATTTGGGCAGACATGTGCATTTCCCTGATTTTTCTGTAGCATTACAATAATAGTGGAGGGAGAATAGGCAACGAACCACACAGAGATGAGAAAATCGTGTGTGCTGTCCCCACAGGTCACTGTTCTCAAGCTGTTATGATGTGTCAAATGACGTGATCTGACATCGCAGATATAATAATTCATTCCAATTGACTGTACAAGAGACATGACTTCATGACCAGTGTCAAGAAATTTTAGCATTCTGCACTGTGTCTGTCATCAAAGGCCTCATGATTTCAGGAAGACTGACGAACCAATGATCTTGTGTTTCCTCTGATATCATTCTAGATATAATGAATCAGAGAATGTAAAATACAACTGAAAAATTAAGGAAAAGATCTGTCTGCAGATGTATTCCACCACAGTGTTCCGGTGGAAACACCACAGATTGTTTCCACCGGAACAACACTATAGAAAACACTGGAGCTTTCGACTAGAGAGACTCTCCATTAGCAAGATCCTCACATAATGAGGACAGTAATCTTACCTGCATTAATTGTGCTAAGTTTCCCATGCTGTCAGATGTTGTAATAGAGCTTCTCATAATTTATAATAAGTATGTACTGAGTTAAAAAAAATGTAGTAAGTTTTATGCAGCCTCAACAAATGTACTAATAACTTACATGCAGACATCAACACAACCTGTTGCCGGTTACCATATATATATGCAATATACATAGTGTAGTAAGAGGTCAAAATGTAAATTTAGTTCCAAACTATATAACTGAATATTTAGTCGGTTTAATATTTCCTGAACAGTACATCATGAATTTTCAGTGATACTTCTTTTAATAAACCTTCATTTACAGAGGATGGGCATCTTGAATGGAAATCAGCTTCAGGACTGAAATATTTATGCTTCAACTTCTCAGAATCACCTTTGAACTGTTTCATCAGAAACAGCACTTTTTCCACACATAGTACACATTTTACAAGCAGTTTGACTAGTATTTTTTCCTTTTTAAAAATAAAAATGCATAATGTGAGGAAAATGAACTTTTAGGTTCTGCATTTGTAACGGTCTTGAAGCAAAAATTATGCAGTACATGCTAGAATTATGCAACATGAGCAGAAAAGACCATACATCTGCTTCAATCAAGGTCATTCCTTAACAGCAGTAATAAAATAGTTAGAAGAAAATGCTTTTTGATTTGAAAAACCCCAGAACCTTTCAGATGACCCTATAGAAACTGAAGGAAGTAATTTAATGGATACAATTTTATGTATGAGGTGTGACACAAAAAGAAAAACGAGACTGTTCAATAAATCATTGTACTCACAGAATCAGTTCTTGGTGACATTATCACCTTCAAAGTAGTCCCCTTCAGCATTCACACACTTCTTCATTAGGTGCTGCCATTGCTGGTAACAGTTCTGGAACGAGGTTTTTTGGAAGGCCTTTCAGGAGATTCTGTGTTTTTGCCTGAACCTCTTCCACTAAGGTAAAATGGTTTTCCTTTAAGCAAGATTTAACTTTAGGAAATAAAAAAAAGTGCCAAATCAGGTTAATAAGGGGGATGCCCCATCACAGTAATGTTTTTGCTGGTAATAAACTGTTTGACAGATACGGCTGTGTGAGCAGGTGCATTGTCCTGGTGCAACAGCCATCCATCACTCCACAACTGGGGCCTTTTTACCTAATTTTTTCACGAAATCTTTTAGTACTTCAATTTAGTAGTGTTGATTAACAGTCTGACCACTGGGAACCCACTCAATCATTACAATTCCATTAATGTCGAAGAAGACAATTAACATTGCCTTGAATTTTGATTTTGAAATATGTGCTTTGTCTCTTGCCCCTGAAAACCGCTTATTTGATTCAAATACTCATGCACAAGAGAAGGTTTCATCTCCATAAGCCTAAGTTAACATTTGAAATGTTTCCGTGACTGATTTCGTAAGTTTCACAAGAAACTTGATGTTGATTCGCTGTTCGGTTTTTTACACAAGACATTTTTTCCATCAGAATGCAGTTGCACATGTTCACTCAAAGATGCAGTACTCCCAACTGGTGCATTCAGTTAAGTCAAAACTGGCCCCATGGATAGAGGAGGTGTGGGGAATGATGTCACCAAAAAAGCTATTGCCAATGCCCCTTCTTTTCACTTAGTTGCGTTTTTTTGTGTCACACCTTGTATATACTGAAGTTTAATCTAATGTCAGAATTTCTGTTTTCATATCAAACAATTTATTTACAGCCATATGAGTCTGGACAGAATTAAGTCTTTTAATGTTAAATATCACAAAATTTCAATGCAGAAAATTCTGTTATTACTGGAATCATCCATAAATAATGCCAAAAAGCTAAAAATTATCATTACATAATGTGTAGATCTTATTCACACAAGCTGGGATCAGTGATGTAGGTAGAGCTTTTACCATCTGGGGCAGTCCTTGAATTTGCCACAACTCTTGTTATACAAACAAATAACTAAAAAATGTGAAAATGACATGCAGGGCAATAACTTAAAGCTCTATTTATTTTTGAAGAAAAACTTTAATTTCAGCATTATAAAATTATATTATCATTTTGTTTGTTTTTGTTAGCAAGATCATCGATGGCATTGTATAGGTCTATGTGATTACTCCAGTTGGCTGTTATGCAGCTGTAGAGAAAGGTATCTTAAATATAGACTAAACATTTGTAGTTCTTAAATACATCTCAAATGATTTTTATTTCAAAAACTGTTCTTAGAGTTAACAGTATTTACAGCAGTTGTGAGAAAAGTTCGCTGTGGGACAGGATGATTATGAAATAATTTTCCCTGTTTGAAGGCACTTACAGCTAAAACTAATGAGCGAAAGGAAACTAAATTTCATATTCAGACTGTAGAGGGCATGAGGAGATAAATAAATTAAAAAAAAAAAAAAAAATCACCAAACATTACCATTACTATTAAAATTTTTTAAAAAAATTCTTTGCAGAATTCATCTCCCAATGCCTTCCAGGATGTGTACATGAAATTTGATTTCATTCCATTACTTAGTTTTGGCTGAAGATGCCTTCAAACAGAGAAAGTTATTTTATAACCACTCTGTATTAAAATATTTGAAACTTTGTTTTGGAGATTGTATTTTAGAATAAACTGCAAAAATTTAAAAGCACCACCCTTCTACATTTCTATTTCGTTTTCCTTATTTAGTGTCACCATGATCATAATTTAGATGATATTCGTAATTTTCATTGAAAAGTTTCAGCAGAATAAAATTATTAAAAGAGTATGCAGTTGTGGAAGGTTTAGTGATAATTTCTTTAAATGCATTACTTGGAGTAAAAAGTATCTTTCTTTTCAATTTATTTCGATGTGGCAGTTCAGAAAATCATTGTTCTTGTGTATGTTGATTAGCTAAGTAAAGGATGGTCTGTATTTTTGAACTTCTGAGGAAATGATTGGTGCATATTTGACAACAAGGAAGCTAATTTTCATGGTTGATGGGGTTTAATAATCAAACATGATTTTTTACTTCCATATAGTTAAAGCTTATGAAATGTGCTGTCTTTTATGTCTGAAATACTGTTTTATTCTTTTAATCTTGCTTAATTTTAATGTAGGCATTTGATGTTCAAGTTGACAAAAAAAATTATTTTATTATTATTAATTTTACACCAGAAGTTTATTTCATTCATTTGGTTTTTCTACCATGAATTGCATTTTTTATATGCTCATCTATCTGGAATTTTTCCAGATTGTCAAGCTTTATGTATGTCAAGCTTTAGTTTAGTTATTTTAGTAATCTAAGAACTAAAATAAAATGACACACTTTATGAAATTTCTGTTAAAAATATTTTGAAAAAAATTCTATAACATAAAAAAATCCAAAAATTGCTGAAAGTTATTTTGAAAAATCTAGAAGATAAAAATACATAAGAGAAAAGAAAGTTTGAGTAAATACAGTATATTTAATTTTACTGCCATACAAACTGTTAAAATTTAAAAATAAGGAACATATTACTATGGTTTTTCTCATTTATGTATTAAATATTGAGGCCTTTTAATGTAGTGAGTAAATTTTTAGGTTTTCAGTTTATTAATGTTTGTATTTAATTTATATCAATTTAGTTACTTTTATTTTTGTGTATTTGCTGACATTATTTTTATGGGTGATACATTTGTAATTTGAAAGCATTTACAATGTGTAGTATTTTTTTTATTATCTATATTAATTTATATTATACTTTCATTTCATTTTATTGAATTTGTTCTCTTTCAGAATGGAAACTACTGAGGTGGTAAATGCTTCTATAGAAGAAACAGATAAAGAAGCTGTAATAGAAGAAATAGAGAAGGAATCTATAATAAAAGAAAGAGATAAGGAAGCTGTAATAGAAGAAACAGATAAGGAACTTGTAATAGAAGAAATAGATAAGAAAGCTAAATTAGAAGAAGCAGATAAGGAAGTTAAAATAGAAGAAACAGATAAGAAGGCTATAATAGCATATGTTCAGCTGCCAGAGAAAATCATTAACTCATGTGCAGCAAAATTAGAAGATGATGAGTTACATAGTGGTGTTGCTGAAGTTTTGTTGGAAGATACAAATTATGCATTACGAGATGTAGCTACGTCAGCAATCCAGTTTATGAGACATGGTCGTAGACATAAACTTCTTGCTTCAGATTTTAAAAAAGCTTTCTCTATTACGAGCCCAGATTTGATATATAGTGACGGTTTTTATGACTTTGCAAGCAATATTATAGATCTGAAAATATTTGCAGAAGAGATTGAGGAATTTAAAGAAAAGGAACCACCAGTATACTATCATGGTAAATGGTTAAACATGTGTGGTTCTAAAGAAACTACAATTTCTTTGGATCTTAGAAATTATTTTGACTTGATTGTGAAGGCTATTTTAGATAATGATGATGAAATAAGTTCTTTTGCAATAAGTGACTTAAAAAATAATCCCAATATATTGCCACTAGTTCCATATTTTATGCATTTTCTGACCACAGGAATTAGAAAAATGGGTGATGATATTTTACTATTGCCGAAATTTATGAAAGTTACAAATTCCCTTCTGAAAAATCCTGCCTTATACCTTTTTCATGAATCATTTTTAGACAACCTTCTTACCTCTGTACTTAGTTGCATTACTAGGCCTCTAGCTACATCTCTTGGCTTCAATAATCACTTTGTAATTCAAGATATGACTGCTTGTTTTCTGTCCAATATACTGAAGCAAGATATTGGTAAGTCTAAGAACAAACTCTACTTTAAGGTAATTTCAAAATTAGAAAGCATATTAAGGGATATTAATGAACCTTTTTACTCTCACTATGGTGCTATTGTGGCTCTTATTTCTTTGGGTATTTATTCAATAGCAAAAACTTTACCCGCATATTTTTTATCATACTGCAAACATTTAAGCAATGGATTAGCATCGTCTGAAAAGCACGTAAGGCATGATGCTTATATGGTGCATGGACAGTTACTTTTAGCATGTAAATTATTAATCAGACATTGCCTAGCAAATGATTATAAGTTACCTGCCTGTGTAACTGAAGTTAGTGATCCATTAGCTAAAACTGTATACATAAAAGAAAGTGTTGAACTAAAGGAAGGTGGTGATATTGTTTTACCATATTCTTTGTTTATGGCTTTTATTGAGTATTTTGGTGATTCTTTAGCTGCTTGTCTAACAGTTATACAAGTTAAAAACACTTCAAAATCTTCTTTGAGATTATTTAATAATAATATTTTTCTGGTAAATGAAATGGAACATGTAAAGCAGATTCAAGAACATACTTTTGAAAAAGAAAAAATTAATAATAATGCTAAAACATCTTATGCTACAAAATCGCAGATTTCAACAGACACTGATCCTCAAGAAAGCCTTGGTGTGGTTCAAGTTTCTGCTACAAAAGTAAAAATAATTAAAAAAAAGAGAAGTGACAAAGTTTCGTCTTTCAGAGGAAACCCTGTTGTTAGGCGTAAACCATACATAGTATTAAATTATGGAACTGCAAGACCTCCTGAGTGTTTGAAGCAGAAACAACTTTCAACAGTACCAGTTTTAAAAACATATTTCAACAAAAAATTTCAAATCATTGGTAAAAAGAGAAACTGTGCATCTACAAACAGAAAAACTGCATATTTAGAACACTTTGGAAATTTACAAATTATTTTATAGTTTAATGAAAAAAATTATGCCATTGCTTATCATTTAAATTATTATACTGGTACTTTTCCATTAGTTATATCCCTGATAAAGGAGCAAAAATATTATTCCTGATTTTTTTTTATTTATTTTGTTTTGTTTTTCATTGCTATACATATTATTGCTGCTGGGTAATGTTAAGATTTATTTGTTTACATGCATGGAAAAAATAATATAAAAATATTTGTTTATTTTACTATAGTCTGTACATTATTAATTATGTCATATTTATGTATTAGTGCATATTTCATATTTTAAATTTAACTTTACCTGTTTCAGATTAAATTAAATTTATTTATTAAAAATTTAACTATCTTTATAGTATTATGTTTGCTAAGTAAATTATCAGATTTAATCAATTTAACTGAGCTTCGTTTGATAACTTGAGTTATTACATCTGAAAAAGGGAGTCATTTGACAGGTTTCTTTTCAACTTGCAAATATTAATAGCAAAAATTTTTCAGGATGTATAACTAATGGGAAATTTGCCATTATGTTTTTATATAGACAAAAAGTGTTAATTTCTGTAATTTTTATTCCTAATTATTTTTTCAACTATAATATTTTATCCTTTTTAGCATATTTTAATGTAAATTTAAACTTATGTTGAAAATGGTTAAAATGCTTAAGTAGGTATTTCATTCTTTTCTTAAAAGTTTTTTATGTTTACAATATTAACTTAATATGTAAATTAAACCGAAATTTTACCTGAGTTTTGAAGTTTAAAATATCCTTAGTAGAATTTTTCTTAATTTTTTCGAGTATTTCATTATGTTACATTACATTGCCATGCATTTGTCATCCATTTGCTCTGGCAGGTTCTGCCAGCCTACAAAACATTGAACTACTGTGCACCAATGACTGTCATCCAATAGGTTATCATTGATCACAGTCTTCAATGTCTTTTGGTTTAATTTTGTTTTAATGATCTACCTAAATTTACTGAACTGCCACAAACTGGGGAATTATAGATCGTCCTGCCCCCAACACAGTGATCAGCATTCTCTAGGTTATCAATGTGCAAATTTTCTTGAGGGACAAAGTGTGGTTAATTTTGTTTTAAAAATCTATCAAAATTTACAGCATCATCAAAATTTACAACTTCACTCTGATGACAAGTTGGACACTAATGACAATCAACCCATATGTCATTGTGACCAACTACTTTGATGAGCAGTGCTGTCTCTACTTTAATGTTATTTTAACAATCCATCTAAACTTATTCCACTGCTGCCTAACGGTAATCTGTGAGTTAACTGCCACTGGCCACCAACTTTGTAGGTCATTCAGTATAATTTCATTTTAATGATATGTCTAAATTTACTGCATTATTTCACAATGATGACCCTTTGATAATTAACCCTTTAACTGTCAAGTTATTTTGATGATTTGGGTACACAAATTGTCAAATTTTTTTATTGGAAAAACCAAATGTAGCCGAAATAAACATCTCCCGATATATATTCGGGTATGACAATACGAAGCACTTAAAAAAAAAAATTACCCCGAGAAATACTCGGGCGTGACATTTTCGAACACATCTCGGGCATGACAGTTAAAAGGTTAATAAAGATCAATGGTTTTGTTTGTCCTTTTTATTTTAATGACCTATTTAGTAGGTATTGTTTCAGATATATTGAATTTATAATGTGTCCAAAGTACTTGCAATGTGATTTTAATTAATAAAACATATTTTAATGTAATGATTTATATATCTGGTAAAACGTTGTTAATTCCTTATTAGAATAAGGTTTTTTACATAAGTTTACTTTTGATTATATCTAGATCCATTGTCGCGTAGATGAAGTGATCGTAGAAATGAAGAGGCTAGTACGTAACTCTTTATTGTTCGAACTGAATGAGTAACCACTTATACACTCCTAATAAACGAGCTGGAACATTTTAACAGTAAAAGTTTAGAAAATGGAGAAAATTCTCTAATATATGAAACATGAAGGAAACAAATTAACCAGTTTTTTAGTGTGTCTTTGATGTGTCTCGAATTCGGCAACTTCAGTTTCCGAATCCATCTTATCCATTGAGCCACGATGTGCTCGGTCGAAAGGAACAATTTTTCCTATATTTCTTCCTTCTTAGGTAGAATCAGCGTCCCGCTGCGATCTGGTCTGGACTTGTAACAGGTTTCCTAGATGTATTGGTCTTTTTTTTTTTTTTCATTGGCCCACCAGCGGCCGAGCGGTAAAGTCGCTGAACACTGGTAGCTCGGTCCGAGGTTCGAATCCCGCGAACGGGCTGGCTGCATGGGCGTTTTCGTGGTTTTCCCCATGTGTAACGTGTATACGAGCCAGTTTCCCTTAGAAAGTCCTCCACGAAAGGCATCCCTCCCCTTAGGCAGATAGCCCTCGTGTGCTTTGCCATAATTAAATTAAATACACACCAACTTTTTTTTTCATTGTCATCAAAATAGGGCTTCAATCGTAATTCATAAACGATGTCTTTTAAACTCCGTCGTCACGTCAGATAGCTGTCGTGATATTCGTCACGGTCCTAAGTAAAGTCTTAGGAGTTTTTTTGGGTAATCAAACATTTCATATGGTAGTTAAGACCCAGACTAAGTCTCCGGCTTTGTAGCTGACAGGTCATTTCCTCTGTTCGTATCGGCGCTTGTCTGTGGCTTGCGCTTTAAGCATATGCAGTTTCGCAAGCTGTCTACCTTCTTCAGTTCTCGTAATCAGATGCTGCACATAACTATCGTCGGGATCTTCGGTATTGGATGGGAAAATTACGTCGAAAGTAATCTGGATATCTATAAATCAGAAAGAATAGGGTGAATCTCGTTAAGCCTTGTTTTGCTGAATTATAGGCAAAAGTCACAAATGTTAGGATAGTATCCTAATTTCTGAGTTCGTCTACTTACATCGTCAACATGTCTGCCAGTGTCTTGTTGAATCTTTCCGTTAAATCGTTGGTCTGTGGGTGGCAGTCAGTCGTCAGATGATGGGATGTCTAGCATAATTGAAAGATTTCTTTAACAACAGTGGATAAGAAGTTGCGTCTTCGATTACTTATCATCTCTTTGGGGGGCACCGTGTTTCAGTACAATTTCTTCAAATATAAATTTTGGTAATTTCGGAGCCCTCTTTTTGTGACTGTAAATCTGGTAGAGTAATCTGTACAAGCTATAATCCACCGGTTCCCATTTCTAGTAACGGGAAAGCGTCCAAGTATATCTATTCCAATTTTGTAAACGGTATGTCGGGGTTTTATCGGATGAAACTGTCCTGTATCGGGGTGATTTCCATCTTTGACATTCCCGTCGATGTGATAAATACAGTCGTGTGCTCCCATTATAACCCTAATACCAATAGTACTTTCTCCTTATTCGGTCGCATATTTTGGCAAGTCCGAAATGACCGGCGGTTGGAGCATCATGAACACTTCTTAAAACATCGCTACGAAGTAGTCTAGGTACTACCAAGAGCCATTGCTGTCCCATAGGATCATAGTTTCTTTTGTACAGTATACCATTTCTTATTTTATAATTTTGGTATGCGTCACCACTTTGAGAGTTGTAATGATAGACTTCAATTGTCTATCCTCAGCTGCTCTTTTCCGTAATCTGGGATTGCTGCGAGGAAAGGGATGTCGTCATTGCTCTCAATTATTGGTTCGACAAGGGCTTATCGGAATGTTCGCGACCTCTCTTGTAGACGATATTTATGTTGTACTCCTACAACCTGATAGCCCACCGTGCAAATTTTCTAGATCAATCCTTAACATTGGACAGGCAACATAAAGAGTGGTGATCCGTGACTATCGTGAAGTGTTTTCCATAGAGATACGGCTTGAATTTATTGATTGCCAAAATGACGGCAAGGCATTCCTTTTCGGTTGTAGAATAGTTCTTTGCAGCTGTAGTAAGTGACCTGCATGCATAGGCTATTGGTCTTTCTTTGCCATCCTGGATCTGAACCAGTACAGTATCGATGCCCCTAGCGTCAGAATTCATCACCGTTTCTACGTCTGGAATAAAATGTTCCAAAACAGCGTCACTGGTCAATAACTTTTGAGTGTTGCGAAAGATTCCCTCTGCATCATGTTCCAAGAAAATTTTGCATCTTTCTTCAACGAGTGAAGCAAAGCTTTGCGATATCCTCGAAATTTTTGATAACTCGTCTGTAGTAGGATTACAAGCCCAGAAAACTTCGGACATCTGCGATATTTTCTGGAACAGGAAGCTCTGTTACAGCCTCTACCTTTTGTAGGTCGCATTAAATCCCATGCTGATCTACTAGGTTTCTCAGCATAGTCAGTTTCTTTTTGCCGAATGAACAATTCTTGGAATTTAGCGTCAGTTCTGCTATTTGAATACATTTAAGAATTTCTTTCAAGCGTTTTTTTAGTGTTCTTTGAAGCGTACACGATTATGTTATCGAGATAACAAAGGCAAATATTCCATTTGAGGCCTCTTAGCACCGTGTCCATCATCCCTTCGAATGTGGCTGGAGCACTGCATAATCCGAATGGCATGACTTTAAGTTCATAGAGACCATTTGACGTCACCAAGGCTGTCTTTTCTTTGTCTTTATCATCAAATTACATTTGCCAGTAGTCTGACTTTAGATCCATCATAGAGAAAACTTCTGCACCAGCCAGGCAGTTCAAAGCATGATAGATGCGAGGTGATGGATAGACGTCATTTTTGGTTACCTTGTTCAATTTTCTATAATTGACACAAAAACGCCATTCACCATTTTTCTTCACAAGTACGACTGTAACTATTCAAGGGAGACCCAATCCGCCTTGTCCCAGCGGGACCATATGATTAAAAATAGGTCAACCCTCCTCGACTGGAGATAACCACAGACTGTCTAACGGTTGTATCATATCTTCTTTTAGCATTCGTTGCACTTCCTCTGCAATCGCACGTCTCTCAGTGGCTGACGCACGCATGGCCTTTGTTTGATTGGCGCTCTGTCACCTATATCGATCTTGCCCTTCATCGGGATTTCCTCGCAAAACTGGTAAAGAAGAAAATGTCACTAAATTCTTCTAGCAGACTCAACAGTTCGTCTACTCAGCATCGGTCAGATCAGTATCGAAAATTTCTTTAAATGTTTCTCGAATCAACCTTTTTGAGCCTCACCACTCAGGGAGCGAATAGGGTCGTTTGCAGTGGTCGTTAAACAGCCCAAATTCATCCTTTTCGATGTCATTTGGTTTCCTTGAGAACAATTAGTTACCCATAATTTATTACAGCTATTCTCTATGGGGACAATTGAAGCTCTGTAGCTCTCTTTCGCACATCAGAAATCTGTTTCCAACAATCGTAGTTCCATCTGCTTCCCGTACTTCTGGATTCAGAGTACTTTTTTGCCTTGTGGAATTTGCTAATTAAATAATCTGTTGCGGGTAACAAGGAGCACTCTGATTTATTTAAACATTCATTGCCTGGAAGGATTTCTGAAAGCTGAAGTTGTTGATGTTGACAATCTGTAATGGCATCGGTGTCACGGAAAACGCCTCATCCAAATATCATTTGATGGCTACATTGCGGAACACAAGGAATACAAATGGCCTCTTAGTCCCATTTAAATCAACTTTTAATACACAGCACCCCGAGGCGGCTACAGGTTTACCACAGCCAGTTTCCAGTATAGGTCCATTCTCGGTAAACACAGGAATATTCAATTGGCGGCGTAATTCTTCGGATATGACGTAATAATCGGCACCCGTATCAACAAGGGCTTTTACACACTGTCCGTTCACGGTGATAAAGGTGGTATTCTTTTTTAACTTGGCTGTGGTGTATGTCGAAGGATTGTCTTCAGTTGTGGCCTCACATTCTACACAAGTCGCTTGAGGTATTTTTCTTATTGGTTCGGCGTGGGGAGCGGCGTACTGGTGACTGCGACTTCGAGGGAACATCGCGGGTACGGTGAACTGCTCCTTATTCGGGAAGAAGTAGGCTGTGCATACTCTTCGTCAAGGCTGTATGCAGAGTCAGTGTCCCTGTCTCGTCGAGGGTTAGATGTCCTAGCGGCTCTTGCATTTTCAAACATTTGACGTCTCTCCCTGTAGTACCTCAGAACTTGATTTTGTGCGTCTGCAATGATAACAGATGGTCACATTATCATCAGTCCTCCACATGTCTGTTCTACGTTGTGGAGCAGCTTTCTTGCTGGCTTCATGTCTTAGCTGCGTTCTGGAACAGAACGTTGGGCATTATTTTTGCTTCTTTCTGTTCTTGAGAGTGGTGCTAAAGCCTCCATAATCTCTTCCCGGACTACAGATGTTATGTCATTCAGTGGCTCAGGATCTATTTCCGTGTTGCCCTGAACTTGCTGCGAGACCTTCTGAAGTTCTGTGACGATGGTGCGCACCATCGTCAGAGACGATAGCTCTTGACGATAGACGATAGCTTTTAAGTCACCGATGTCTGCATCGACCGACACCACGGAGACATTAGATAGCCTGTAGAATCGTGGTTGAGTGATACGTCCTTGTTGAAGGCTTTCTG